AAATAAGATCAACTTCGATAAAATAAAAAATAAATTAATATGGTATTAGGAACGATGTTTTTTTTTTCAAATTAGATCCCATAATTAATTTAATTTTGTTATATATAGATTTATATATATATAGATATATATTTTATAGCTATGTTAATAGGTTAAACTCTGATTAATTAAAAAATAAAATACATTAATATAGAATTTAAAATATATTTATAACTTTTTTTTTATTTTATAACTTTTTTTAATCAAATTTCTTCCTATTATGTCTTTTAAATTGTATGTATGTACTGTTATGTATGTGTATATACAATTTAAAATTAACTAAAAAATGAATAATAATTTTATTTTATGGCTATGTAAAAAATATGATAATGCAATCTCTTAAAAAGGCTCTCCTGAAATATCAGGCTGTAAATCCATTTGACTCCAGTTTGAAATCTCTTCACTCGTACTGTTTGAGAATGTTTCATATTAATTTCTGGTCATGTTTCTCAGGTGCATCTGCGTCCGTTCTCGCCTCAGTTCACCGATCCGCAGCTATACCGCTGGAACGTCTCGGGCGACGGCGCTCTCACACGCGTGACGGAAGTCCTGCTCCACACGCAGCCGGCGCAGTGCACGGACTTCCTGTTCATCCAGAAGCACCTCTTCCTGCTGGGGGTCACGGGGTCGTCACACTACCGCTTCGCTCTGGACTGGATGCAGCTCGCGCCCGGCGGAGACCCGGAGAAGGTTCGGTTCTACCGGTGTGTGTTGATGGAGCTCCAGCGCAGAGGAATCCGGCCGGTCGTGACGCTGTATCACCCCAGCTACCGCTCGCCCTCGCTGGGTTTGCCTGAACCGCTGCACGCTAATGGCGGATGGAGAAACGCTAGCGCCGTGGAGGCGTTCGTCAGCTATGCCGTGTTTTGCTATCGTGAATTTGGGGCCTTGGTGTCGACGTGGATCACCATTAACGAGCCAAACCGGTTAAATGAGGCGTATGCCGAGGAATGGCAAACAGTGACACGTCACTTGCAATTAGCGCACGCGAAGGCGTGGCACATTTACGATGCGCAGTTTCGACGGAAACAGGGCGGGGCTGTTAGTTTGGCTCTCCATGCGGATTGGGTTGAACCAGCCAATCCGTTTTTAGAATCTCACAAATCCGCCCAGCAACAGTTTTTGGAATTCGAACTGGGTCGTTTTCTCGACCCTCTGATTGGTGGAGGGAACGAGGGGCGTGGCAACACCTCCGACGATGAGAGGGCGGAGCTTAAAGGGGCGCTGGATTTCGTCGCTCTTAATCACTTCACGACGCGTTTGGTGTTGCCATGGAAACAACCGACGCCGCTGAACCAGGAGCACGGCTGCGCGCTGATGACGGATGCCACTTGGAAGGTGTCGCACCTGGGACAGGCTCTCGTGCCCTGGGGCCTCCGCAGGATGCTGGGATGGGTGAGGAATCGCTATGGCGACCGCCTCCCCATCATCATCACGGCAACAGGGGTGGACGATCAGGCGGTTCATGATGACCAGCTGAGACAGAGCTATATCAGGAGCTACCTGCAGGAGGCGCTGAAAGGTGAGCGGAGTCTGAATATTAGGGTTTTAGGACCCTATTTTAATGATCTAATGGTCTAAAGCATGGTCTAAAGCGCACGGCTCAATTGCGCTTAGGGAGTGTCCGAATCCACTTTTGCTAGTTTAACGATGGGAAAAACGGTCAGCGCGCCCGGCGCATGGTCTAAAAGGGTTGTCCCTATTCTCTTAATGAGTAATGGGTGTGTTTTGGTCGTAACGTGCAATAAACCAATCAGAGTCTCATCTCCCATTGCCTTTAAAAGCCAGTTGCGCTCCTGCCATGGCGGATTCGCTATTTACAAGGCGGAATTTGCAAGCGGAAAAACTGATCACTTCTCTCTTGAGGGAACGGATCTGCTCGTGCGCGTAATTCTGATGCATGCAAAGACTATCCATTATGACATGTAGGCATTTTTATAATTATGTACACAATAATGACTCCAGCAATGCGCCTGAACACACCTCGTTTTCAGACCAGCACGCCCATAATCGCACAAATGGGCGCAAATGCATTTATTGTTTAAAAAACGTGGCGCAGGACGTGAAAATGATAACTGCGTAGCAAAAAACACTTTCGCCGCGCCTGGCGCCGCATTGCACCGAGTGTATGATAGGGCCCTTAGAATTTCAGAAGAATTTTTTTTTTATTATTTTTAAAAAATCATTATTTCATCATTTTACCTTATTGTTCTTGTTGTTGTTATTATTTAATTTTTTTATTTATTATTTATTTATTTATTTTTATCCATTTGTTATATGTAAAGTAAGTGCCCACTTTTAGCATTTGGTTCCACTATTATTTATTATTTTTCCACTAATTAATTTTCATAATAAGAATTAAAAAATATATTTCATTCCTTAAAATAAACCAGCCAGTTCTGATATGAATCAGAATCTGAATATATGTTTAAGAATTTCAGAAGCACATTTTTGTCTTTTTAATTAAATTATTTGTTATATTTAATTATATAGTTAGAATTAAATTTGAATATAACATGTAAATATTTCATCATTTAATTAAAAGTTAGGCAATTATTTTATTGTATTATTCTTACTTTATTGTTATTGTTATTGTTATTACTGTTGATATTATTATTATTAAATTATTCTTTTATTTATTTTTTATTTTGTTCCATTTGTTATTAAACTAAATATTAAATAAATAATTAAATATTTTATTAAAAAATATATTTTCTTTTAAATGTTATGTTATATAATATATTTAAATATCTGTTAATTAAAAGTTATTTAATTATTTTGTTGTATTATTTTTACTTTTTTATAATTATATTTGTTATTATTACTGTTGATATTATTATTATTATATTTCATTTTTGATTATTTTATTCCATTTGCCATATATAAAGCACTACAGTAAGTGCCCACTTTTAGCACTTTTTCCATAATTTCCATTAATTTTCTTAAGCATTTTAAAACAATATTCCATTCCTTAAACCAAACCAACCAGCTCTGAGATGAATCAGAACAGAACATTTGATTTGAAGCAAAACATTGGCAGCTTGTTCCCTCAAATCTCTGAGATATTTTGGTCTTCATGATAATATGGGGTGTGCTCAAATATATAATCGTTAAATATAAGCAATATAAACAGCGATCCTTGCCTCATCAAAGAGCACTAATGAGCCGTGATTATGAAACATGTCCTCATTATATCTGATAACAACATTAGAGATTAAAGAGCCGTGTTGCAGATTGCTAGCGCAGCACTGTGTGTTATCTAGTGTTATCTCTTTTACACGCCGTAATCAGCCGCTTACTCTGAGGTTTAACATCAGGGTCAAAGGTTGCACCGCTGTAATTCTGTCTCAGAGCTGTTAATGAGCAACCTTTGAGACGTTATGAGCACACAGGGACACACGGGTGTCATGTGGAGACTGTATGATCCTTGAGCCCAGTGCGTCTGCTTTTACAGTGTTTGTGCGGATGTGAGTCACCGTCGCTTCACGCTTTAGTGTGTGTGTGATCTGACAGATTATGTGATAAAGCTGTGAACAACAGAACCTGTTTTTACCTGCGTGCGTATTTGGAAAACAGTGCGTGCTATCAGGGTTTTCCCAACTGAGGAAACACTGGCTAATAATAATATATGAATGATTTTAAAATAAAAACAATTAAAATACATAAATACAATTTTTAATCTTTTTTATTATTAAATAATTTGTGTCATGTGACCATTAACTACATCAAAGAACCACGAACGTGCAGCTGTGTTAAATTATTGAAATACTAACTAAATCATAACATTTCAAATTAAAATGAATAAATTATATTAAAATATCAAAATAAATCATTTTAAAATGTCAAAATAAAACACTTACTAAAAACGTAAGCATGCATGTGTGTGACCGTTGACCAAATCAAGAGACCGGTGAACATGCAAAATCATAAAATGTAAAATTAAAATGAATAAATAATTTAAAAATGTCAAAATAAAACACTAAAAAATGTGTTTACTTGCATGGCATGACCATTAACCGACATCAGAGAGCCATGGACATGCAAATGTGTTGTTAAATTATTCAAGTATTAATTAAATCATAAAATGTAAAAAATTAATAAATAGTTTTAAAATATCAAAATACATACAACATTTTTTTTTTTTTACTATTTGCCCGCATACCATGTGACCATTGGCCAACATCAGAGTACCATGAAAATGCATATGTTAAATTATTGAAATATTAACTACATCATAAAAATAGTAAAATTAATCATTTTTAAATATCAACAAAAACAAACACAAAAAAATGTGTTTACCTGAACCACGAACATGTGAATGTTGTTAAGTATTAACTACATCATAAAAATGTCAAATTTAAATGCATAATTTTAAAATATCAACAACAGCAACAAAAATACAATAAAATAAAATCGTTTACCTGAACCATGAACATGCAAATATTGTTACTGAAATATTAAATACATCATAAAAATGTCAAATTAACGAATACATAATTTAAAATAACAAAATAAAACACTTGCTAGAAGGATAAAATATTTTGTTTACCTGTCATGTCATGTGACCACTGACCAACGTGAACTTTGAAATATTAACTAAATCATAAAAATGTCAAATAAATCAATAAAATGAATGAAATATAAAACAAAATCTAAATAAAACACTAAAACCAAATATTTTATTTGTAAATTGTTGAAATAATTACCTTAAATTTAAATATTACTTATATTTAAATATACTTAAACATTAACTTAAAATTTCAAATATTAACAAAATTTCACTTATTTTAGGTTAAAAGGGGTTCGAATTATTAAAAAAAAAAAAAGGAATCCCTCTGTTGGATGATTTTTGGTTCGAACTGAACATTGCAAATATCAGAGTGATTATAATGCAGATTTTGTTTGGTAATTAAAAGTCCCTCGATGTTGCATCATTAGATTCACAGGTCTTTGTTTTGTGTGGAAAGAGTTATGAAACAGCATCTATAAATTTACAGTAAATGCATTTAAATTGTATTTACAGTTTAAACTGAAATAAATAAATGTGAGCCTGGAGCACAAAAGCAGTCTTAAGTCGCTGGGGTATATTTGTAGCAATAGCCAACAATACATTGTATGGGTCAAAATTATAGATTTTTCTTTTATGCCAAAAATCATTAGGATATTAAGTAAAGAAAGAGTTCCATGAAGATATTTTGCAAAATGTCCTACTGTAAATATATTCAAACTTAATTTTTGATTAGTAATATACATTGCTAAGAACTTCATTTGGACAACTCTAAAGGCTGCATCTGAAAAACAATGCGATCATCAACAATAAACAGCATATAAATGAAAACTGCCTAATGTTACAGAGTGAAATATTGATCCCGGAAATGTTCAGGACTGTAAAGGTTTGGGGGTGTTGATGGAAGCGATCTACTGCATCTTTGCTTTGATCATATGACTGGATATGATCCAGATATAGTCTTTGATAAAAATGCGATTTCTCAGTTTTTTGATCAAAATGTTGCTTTTTTTTATGAAACTAACCTACATTCAAGTGTTGATTAAAAAAAAAATGTGAAGCTAGAATAAAACAGATTTTTTTGTTTAAAAGTAGAAGCTCTGTTCTTTATTTTGGTGTATTGCATGCTCAGATATTCATACAACAAAATATTCTGGAGGCCATGAAATTTTAGTGAAAATGATAAAAATGCTGGCGGTGGCTGGCAACTTAAAAAAAAAACGCTGGCGGGGAAAGAGTTAAGTTCATTATCCAAACAACAGTAAATTCTCAGCAAATTTTCATTTTTGTTTAAACGACACCATATAAACGCTTTGACGTATTGGCACAAAATTTGGTGGAAATCATGATCAGTGTGTCCTAAAGGTGCCAGAAAAGTTTGAAACAGCGCCACCTAGTGTTCATAAGATATGGTCTAGTCCGAGTGGTAGAAAAATAAATCCACCATCAAGGCGTTTTTAACATCAAACCATTGCTTCCAGCTAAAATATGAGTTCATAATCCATAATAATGCTTCCTCCAGTGAAAAAGTCCATCTCCTGTTGTCTCTCACATCAAAATCCACACACATATTTGTTTAGAGCTGTTTTGGACTGTTTTTATCAGCTGTTTGGACTCTCATTCTGACGGCACCCATCCATTGCTGAGACACTGATGCAATGCTACATTTCTCCAAATCTGATGAAGAAACAAACTCATCCTGATCTCAGATGACCTGAAGGTGAGCACATTTCCAGCAAATTTAGATTTTTGGATGAACTGTTGATTCAAACACAGGAAAATATGCATGAACAAAGTGGAATCTCATCCAAAACACTGCACATAATTAAACATCAAATATCTCCAGATTGATTGTGTCACATAACGCAGCAGTTTCTCGTTCAGTGTGGACAGATGTCTGACACATTTCATCTGATTCAGAGTTGAAACATTTAGAAGTAAACCAGCAGTGGTGTGAAGTAACGAATTACAAATACTCACGTTACAGTAATTAAGTCGTTTTTATCAGTAATTGTACTTTTTTGAGTAGTTTAAAAATTGTGTACTTTTACTTGAGTACATTTTAAGTGATGAA